CACGACCAGCGGGTACGCGCTGCCACGAAGTCGACTGTTGACCTGAACTGAGCGCCTTTATCCACCGCGCTCCAGAACTTGAGTCGCTGTCGCACACAGATGGTGAGTTAAATTCGACTGGCTGCCCCCACACCAAATTCCTCGCACAGGATATGAACTGTACCTGCTGCACCAGCTTCACTCGGTGAGTGCGCCAATAGTAGGATGAGCGCGAGAGCGCAGGCAGGATCAGCTCCTCCTCGGTGTGGTATTGGCCGTAGCAGAGATCGCACTGTGTGTCGTTGATGAGCACGTATGCCGAATACATGCCGACTGGCCCCTGTTGGTGTCTCTCGGTCGCAGAAGCTCTGCACATGTGAACAGGAGGAACGTCATCAGCGGGAGGACAGCAAGCAGGAGAAAAGAGAGGGACCCGTACAAAAATTGATCGGCGGATGTGTGCCAGCCGAGGGCTGTCCGGACGGCTGTGTCCACAACGCTCCTGGTACGCAGACAGGCAGCGCAGATAAGTAACGGCACGCACCCAAGGTGGTTTTGCAGGGTCGTACTGAGTGACGTTGAGTTCCACTGGGCTCGTTTGAATGGTCGCGCGCAGTGCGGTGTCCTGGTCTGGCCAGTGCTTGGACTGGTAACTGGAGGGCTTGCGCAAATCGACATCAAGCCGGAAGGGCTCGATCAGGTGTCGCTGCGTCAGGTCTCGGAAGTTGACTGCGTCTACCCACCCCTTGGCTCGCGCATTGGCTCGCTGTGGAAAGTTGAAATGAGCAAGACCACCATCTTGTCACAAAGGCCAGGCGCATGCGTACCAACTGACCATCGCCCCACTTGGCCAGGCGCACCACAGCGTCTTCAAAATGGACGGCCCCGAAGTCCTCTTGACGATCAACCAGCGTGAGCTGATTGAACAGCGAGCACTGCGCCTTGGACACTGACACAGAGAGCGAGATCTGGCACGGAGAGGGCAGATCAGTCACACCGTCATGCACATCGGCAAGGCGGGCAAGGTTGGCACCTTGGGTTCGAATGCGTCGTCGCAGACATCTTCCACGCCGATACTGAGACCCAGCATTGTGGGAGAAAATCTATGACACACACACCCTAGGTGAGACCTCAACGCGAGATGAACCACCCTCGCCCGCAATTGTACAACTTACCCTGTCAGTTGGTTGACGTTCGCAATGCAGACTTGCCACTCCCGAGCCGGTAGCCCCTTCTCCAGCCTTGACTGC